GACAGTTCATTTACTTGAACGAATGTAAATTTCCTAACTTAAAATCAATTCAAGTGAACTTTCTATGTCGGGTAACATTTAACCGACATAGAAAGTGACCTTCCCACTTACTATGTCGGTTAAAACTTACCCGACATAGAAAGTTTATGATTTTTTTACATAAATGCCACCGCGCCACATATTATGACGGGTGGACTATGACCGTGATAAAAACCAGTCATAGAAAGCTATTTTTCCACTAGTGAGCGAGGGTTTTTTCTTTTTTTCTTTTTTTTTTATTTAACATCCGTAGGTAAATGAGTAGGTAAAGTAGTAAAAAAACATTACCTACCTCCTACATCCGTAGGTAATGCATAATCATCCCATCCGTAGGTAAATTCCGTAGGTAATAGATAATTTATATACGAATATACTTTTGTAGGTAAAATCCGTAGGTAATGTAAAATTTACCTACGGATTTTTACCCGTAGGTAATATTCCGTAGGTAATAGGCTTTTTTCTTGTAGTGTTTCTCATCAACAGTTTCTTCCACATCATTCTCTGTCGTGGGATCTGTTTCATACACATCATTTACATATGCAATTCTTTCTTTCTTCATTGGTTTTTCAAATTTCCTATATCTTTGTTTTTCATATTCGATTTGTTCTACTCTTCTCACTTTATCAGCTAACTGAGCCATATCATTCAGTGGTAAATTGACTAACTTTTTCCTAATCGAGAATTCTAAACCTGCAGAAGCCATTCTGACTAATTCATATTCAGGAATTTGAGTAAAGCATCTCGATTTCATTTGTCTAAATCGATTCAAATAATCATCTATGCTTTCATTATTGTATCTCTTTATATTCATCAAGTCGATGAGACTTACTTGAGTTTCTCCTCTAAAGAATTGTTCATGAAAATTCCTCTCTAATTGCAACCAATTATATATCGAATTGGGAGGTAACGAAGTGAACCAAGTAAAAGCATTTTTAGTTAAAGAACTAGGAAAATATTTCATCTTTAATTCTTCACTCATCGCTAAATCTCCGCATTCAATCTGATATCGAGCCACATGCTCGATTGTCGATTCACCAACTTCTCCAGCAAATTTAGTGAATTTGGGTACTTTATATCCTCGAGGCAATTCTGTTTCGAGAATGGCATTCGGAAAGGGAGACACAAAATATGTCTGATTGGGTGGTCTAAATTCCATCCCTTGTAAATTCATTCGTTGTCCTAACATGTGATTGTTTTGCATATTATTTTGATTATGTATGTTTTGAAATCCTTCGTTTAAATTTCCATAAATGTCATTCCTCACATGTTGATACTCATTTCCCATTTGTTGATCATTGTTTCGATTTCTTCTCAATAAATATGGGGGATTCATGTTAGCATTTTGGTTAACATGATTTTCTACCCTTGTCTGTCTAGGTATTGCCAATGCATCCCCGATACGTGACATTTGATCTGCTAATATCTCGAAACTAGCAGTTGTGTTTTGGACTAATGGATTTAAGACCGTAGTCAATTGTTGTGATAACATATTCACCATCTCAAAATTACTTTCATCCATTTGTTGTCTAAGTATCCCTAATGAGTTACTGGATATCCCAGTACCAGTATTTTCGATAGTATCAAAATTGGATCGATGATAATCCCTATTGAACGCATATCTCCCATGATCTAAGTTTCCCCTCTGATCTAGATTTGGAGGTATCTGTTGTGTGCCTACATTCTGTCCACTCCCTGAATTTTGGGGGATTGTTAGGTTTTGAGCTACCCCTAAATTTGGAGAGACTCCAAAATTTTGCGGCATTCCTAAATTATATCTCGGAATTCTATGTACCGATGAAGTACCAGTCCCATTCAAATTATTGAGCGAAAACCCAGGCGGTCTTACACTCGCATATGGCCCTGCATATGTTGTTGTAAGGTTTCCCATATTTTGCGTACTGTTTAGTATCGCCGTACTAGATCCTACTTGGGTATTTGCTAAAGTACCTGAATTTTGTTCATTACTCACAGGTATCGACATAGTTGTCGGTATTACAGGCATACTCCCATTGTGTTCTTGCCCCCCAGTGTTTGGCGGAGGCGCACTATTTAGACCCTCATTATTGTTTTGGTTATTCGATGAACTCTGACTCATTCTTACAACTCTACCACTCCTTAATCTCATACACTTTCGAACTAACCAATTTTGTATTTTTCAACACAAGACTTTCCCTACCTGGCGCGCCATTTTGTTTCTGGTGGATTTTCGATCGATTTTAGTTCTAAGGGTATTTTGGTCTTTTAATCGAAATCCTACCACGTAAATTCTTTTCACTTAGGCTAGCAGTTTGACTTTCAATCGAAAACAAGTATGAGAATCGAAAATTACAAGATATCGAAATGCTGTTTTTTGGTGTTTTGTGTTCAAAGTATCGAAAGCAGTAAAAGCATAGAATCGAGAAACTTGAATATTAAATTGCGAGAAGTAAAGTGCATAAAATAAATCCCAAATTCGAAATGACAGGAAATCGAAAACAGTACAAATATGAATGACAAGAAATTGAAATTGCGTAAAGTAAATAACCCCAAAAATCGAAATGTGTGACAACGTAAATGACAAGGAAATTAAACAGTAACAATATAAATGGCGAGAAATCGAGTTTGCAAGAAAGGTAAAAGGCAATAAAATCGAAGATGCAGTAAAAGACTGGAAATCGAAATAGCATTAATGTAAAATACCCAGAGAATTCCAATACAAATTTAAATTGCGTGAATCGAAATGACAAGGAATCGAAAATACAGAAACATAAAATTGCTGAATTTAAGTTACATCAAAGTAAATTACCAAGGAAAATACAAAAAGCGGTAAATGTACTCAGTGAGCAGGGAAATCCAGATTGCCAGAAACTTCATGGTGTTCGTCGTTTCTCCAGTAGACTTTTCACTACTGATTCTGTTCTCTGCCAATTTCTGCCCCCCTTTTCTTCCTTCCTCCTTTGCTCTATTTATAGGATCTCTTTTAAGCCTTCCAGAAACAGTTAGTAAGACTGCTACCATGTTCTTTCGTGCATAGCGGTTTCCTTTTCTGCAGTTGCCCACGTTCTCACGATCCTCAACTCCTTCCATGGTCCCAGAACTGCTTTCTATACGTGCATTTGACTTATTCTTCTGTGGTTGTCCAGGGTTTCGATGTCCGCATTGGTTTCCTTTACTCCCGATTATATGTTTTTCGAGAACTTCGAATTGCTTACGATTCCTTTTTAACCTTGGTCTCATGTGACTTAGTTTTTATTCGACAACAGGCGTTTGGTTATCATTCACTCGATTCTCGATTGTACTTCTCGATACTATATGCTACGTACTTTTAATTAGACATCGATTGAATCTTATCGAGTCACATTCCTTTTCTTCATTTTCGATTGCTTTCCTCGATTTGCCACTAACACTCGTATAACGAAAACCACACTAGTAGTGGTTATATGAATAATAAATCAAAGAAAAACGTGAAAAAGGAGAATATTACATTACCTCATTACTTTTGGCTCCTTATCAATATTGTCGACTCTCTTTTTTTCACTGAATCTTTATCGATAAATTCATAAGATAAAATATATTTTTTTAAATGATTTTTTTCTCAAAAACACAAATATAATTATAGATGATTTTAATTTATACATAATACACTTTATGTGTACAAATTTATAAAGAAATCTTATTTTGATTGAACTTTACCATACCATATTTATGTTGTTGTATTTTAAAAATTGCGAGACTTGATTAAACATTTTATTAATAGAAGGTTCAAAATAAACAAATAAGAGAAAAAAATGTAATTTAGCCTTATTCTTTTTAAATAATGAATAATTTATAGGGTCATATCTTTTGGGCACTTTTGCATATTTAATCTTCATGTGTTGTTAATATAATATAATCAATTTAGGATCTCCATAAAATCCTCGACATTTTTTTTCTTTACTTTTTTTGTGACTTTTTTTCTCAATTGGCCTCTTCAACGATGTTATCGAGTGACATTCAAAATTTTTGGTCTGTGACGAATGGAAAAAAACTTTTATAGATTTTGTACTTCCATTAAAATATTAGAAATAAAATATTTTTATTTATATATTATTTTATTTTTAATATATTATTATCTTATATAATATTAATTATTGTCTTCATTATTATTATTATTATTATTATTATTATTATTATTATTATTATTATTATTATCTTATCCAAGAAAATTAAGTTAGTAATGAACTTTTATCCTATAATTTATTCTTTAAATATAACACCCATTAAACTTGGACACGGAAGCATCAAGTCTTGTTCATGGACCTTGTATATGTGGCTATGATACCCAAAAACATATGTTTGTATATACAATTTTGAGAGAAATAATATTTTTGGAAAGAAATATTGTAAAAATTATAATTTTATTTAGTGTTTTGAAAATCCAACTATGCCAAAATGAGTTAACCAACAAGAATTGGTTAAAACACTATGAAAAAAAATTCAATTGAAAAGAAATAATAATAAACTAATGAAAAATGTTCGATACAATAATTTTTAACTTTTATTAAAATAAATAACATGAAATTTTTACTTTGTGTTCTAAATATAAATTGTTATTATTAACAAATATTTATTTATATAATTAAAATTGGATTTAAATAATTCGTTTGTCTTAGTTTTATTTTTATAAACTACGATATTTTTTTATACCGCTGGACTAAAATGTCAGTCCCGTTAAATTTCGATTGGATAAAGTTTTTTTCTATAAAATTGTATTACGTCAAGTTTCATTTATAAAAAAAAAAATTAAACAATTTTTTTATTAATTTATATAAAAGTTTCTCTAACCATACGGAGAAAAAAAAAAGAAGAAAAAAAACAACTTTTGCAAGCGATTTAACCAAATCCAAGATCAAGAAAGTTACAGAGCAATATCTAGAACTCTCTAACACACAAATTCACAAAATAAAAACCCTCTCTTTCGTCTTTCCACCGAAACTCAACCAATGGCCGCCGCAGCGCCGCCCCCGGCCCCAACACCGGCCCCGGAGCCCGCCACATCGTTACCGGAAACCACCCCTCTCTTCACGCGCATCCGCCTAGCTACCCCCTCCGACGTTCCCCACATCCACAAACTGATCCACCAGATGGCCGTCTTCGAACGCCTGACCCACCTCTTCTCCGCCACCGAGTCCTCCCTCTCCGCCACCCTCTTCTCCCCCACCGTCCTACCGTTCAACTCCTTCACCATCTTCCTTCTAGAAGCTTCCCCCAACCCCTTCCCTGTTTCAACCTTCGACTCCAACCCCTTCTTCAAGCCCCTTACTAAATTCGTGAATCTGAGCGTCCCCATTGAGGACCCAGAGCGGGACACGTTCAAGAGCATGGATAATGTTACTGTTGTGGGGTTTGTGTTGTTTTTCCCGAACTATTCTACATTTCTGGGGAAGCCTGGATTTTACGTGGAGGACTTGTTCGTGAGGGAGTGTTACAGAAGGAAGGGGTTTGGGAAAATGCTGCTGTCGGCGGTGGCGAAACAGGCGGTGGCGATGGGGTACGGGAGGGTGGAGTGGGTGGTGCTCGACTGGAATGTGAATGCGATTAAGTTTTACGAAGAGATGGGTGCTGATGTCTTGAACGAGTGGAGGATTTGCAGGTTGACTGGGGAAGCTCTTCAGGCTTATGGAGGTGCTGATTAGTGTTTTGAAATGTTTCTTCTTTCTTCTCTTTTCCTGTTTAACTTTTCAAATAATGAGAATCTTGGGTTTGGGATTAGTCAATTAGTGAAGGTTTTACTCTGTAAGGAACAAACTAAGGAGTGTAACTTATGTGTTTAGTTCTAGGTTTGGATCCTGGTTATATCACTTCAAAAATGGAATAAACCATACTGTGTGCTCATGTTTTTGACAGTGTTAATGGGTGTTAATTATTTCATCCAAGCCAATCACAAAGTTCAAAAAGGAAAATTTTCAGTGGGTTGGGAAAATTGTGAGTGCAAACATCTCTGTGATCTATTTGTATGATAGTTTAGAGAATCAATCAATGGTGTGGTGTGAGTAATGAATGGTTCTGGTTTTTGAAACAGACATTTCTTAGGTAAAGATAAAAGCTTTTTGGCTTTCTATTGGATATGAAATTATGCTTATCGTGTCAACTGGATTTTGAGTATACTTGTGTGTTTCTGAAATGGTATTGTGTTTGAGGATGTTTCAATTGTTGGTGCATAATCTATATATTAAGTTTGTCTAAAGATTGCATCTTTTGGATAAATACTGATAAAGAACAATTAAAGAATAAGAACAATTTAGTCCCAGCAAAAAATTATTATAACAGGTAATGCTTGAGAACTAATTGAACAATAAGGTTATATATTTTAGGATGAACTTGACATTTTAAAGACTAAATTCTCATTAAAATGGATTGTAAATTCTAGAGACCAAATTGTTAATTGTTATTATTTTACATATTTGATAATTGTATCAAAATTATTTTTATTTTTTAAAATTTTAATTGTTATGGTTTTTTTATTTGTAGTATAGCTGTCTAAATGAGTTACTTGTTAGGTTTAATGGGTTTAGTTTGATTAGAATCAATTTATTATGGGTGGATGGGTTGAACATATGGATTCATTTAGAATTAAAATATTTTCTTTTAGAATTTATATATATTTAATAAAATATAGTCTTTAAAAAATAAGATTTCATCATTAATAATTAAAAATTAATAATTTCAGGTAACGTTGATCATTTATTACTGAAAATAAAGAAATTTTTAATTTAATTATTAAATTGAGTTATTATTTTAAGTTATTAAATTATTAAAAATTAAATGATGAAGAAGAGGAAATTTTATTCTCGGAAATTACTCTTTATAATATATAATGAATTAAAAGTATTATATAAACTTATTCTTCAATCATGATAATTTTTTTTATTTTAACATAATTTTTTTTTTATATTTTTGAAAATTTTGATTTTTATGTATAATAAATTAAAAATTAAGTTAATTACATAATATCTTTATAATTAGGTAAAAAAATATATTTTCTATGTTATAAATTGAGTTAAAATATTTTAGCAAGAGTAAATAAAGTAAATATTAACCAAAAAGTTATAAATACATATATGAAGGAAATTTAATTTAATGTGATTGTCTAGAAAAGCAATTTTCTTAACTGAAATTTAATTGTTTTAAATTTTTATTATTCTAATTTTATATTATTATGCAAATATATTATCTGAGTTGTATTTTTTTTTCAGTTCGATTGTTTTTTCTTTTGTGATTTGTAAATTGTATTGATCTTTGCTCGTAGTATCTTAGAAAGAAAATCTAGTTTGCAATCTATGCAGTTATGTTTCAATTCCTATGGTCACTCTTATTAAGAATTTTTGTAAAGAACAGTAATTACAAAAATTTAAAATTTTGAAAGACAAAATAATATTGTAAGAAAAAAAGTTACAAATTTATAATAGCAATATTCCAACTATATTTAAAATTTATTATTTTAGTTAATTATATTTTTAGATAAGAAAATAAATTATAATAGTTATTATATAATGAGTTGTTTTAAGAATTTTTTTTTTAAATTAAAAAATGTCAATAAAATTAGATATTTATCCCCTTTCTTCTAAAAAATGCCAATTAATGAAAATATAATCGAGCTTGCAATTTTCTTTAAATTATTTTTTGTGTGTTTTAAAATTAAAAGGTTTATGATTTAGGAGGTGGAGGGGTCCACACGTGGAAGCAAGAACAGTTGGCGTTTAAAGAATGCTTCCAGGTTTCTTATTTCCAAACTTTTTGGGTTGCGTGGTTCAGTCAATCATTCTCATTATCTGTATTTCGCTGCAAATTTGATAATGTTTATAATTTTATCTCCATCTTTTTATTATATTTTTATTTTAGTTTTTTCATTTTGAGATACAAAAAGTTGTATTTATTTTATAAGTAAATATTTTTTTTCCTTGTACCAAATCATGACGTGGGCACCGTCTAAGCTGATCCTATGAAGGTTCTCAGGCTTCAAAATATATTAAAAAAATAAAAAAAAAATAATGAAAGAACATAATTAAATTTTTTAAAATATTTTCTGGTCGTAACACGTATCTGTATAACTTCCGCACCAAACCATGAATCAGTTGATATCATAAAAATATTTAGGTATCATTTTCTTTTACGAGAATTCATAGGGTATATATATATATATATATATATATATATATATATATATATATATATATATATATATATTAAGTATATATTTGATTTCGTACACCTTATCTAATAGGACACTATTATAAAATATTAAATATTAATAATATGGTAATTAATTTAATTTTTTTTATTTTTTTAAAATAAAAAAGTAATATTTTTTATTTTTTTATTTTAATATTTTTTATTTTAATTTGATATTCTTTTTTTATTTTTATTTTATTTAGGATGTTTTTTATTTTTTTATTTATATTTTTTGTCATTTATTTTATGTGATCATATTTCATTTTTATATGAGATCATTTTTTTTATATGAGATAATATCATTATTAAAGTATTTATTTCTTTATCAATTTTATTTTCTTTATTTCTTTCAAACTTTATGCTAGTACGATGAACCTTAGATGAATGTTGAAAATAGTTTCTTCAACTATATCTTTATTTTTCTCCTTTAATATGTTTCTTCAAAAAATATTCATTATATTTTTTCTTTGACTTTTTCTTTATATCATTGTTTGTAGTCAATTCTTCTTTTATCAAATTTAAAGTAATTTTTTTTCTTTTATGTGAACTTTAAATATTCTCAAATTATGTATATCTTTAATCACACAATTCAAAGACACCTTCTAATTTTTCTCTAATAATTGAGTAACACTTAAAGAATTATGATTAATATCAGGAACATATAAAATATCTAAAATTAATTTTATATCCAAATGACTTTTAATTGTAATTATTCTCGTACCTTTCACATAAATTTGTTATCCATTACCAATTATTGCTTTAAAACTAAGTGATTCGTTAAATTATTTGAAAAGTTCTCGCTCATGAGTCATGTGATTTGAACAACTACTGTCTATGAACCAACTTGTTGATTTGTTGATTGTAGAACATGTTAACCTAAGGAGAAATTTTCCTTCTATTCTATCCTCTAAAACCTTGAAAGTTTCTCTTAGTTGTGATTTGCATGTTTTTCTATATGTTCTAATTGATTATATTTGTGATATTTCACATCAGGTCTCTACCAATACTTGTTGTGTGGGTGATTATTTTTCTTGGAATAAAGACAAATAGAAAAGTCACGTGATTTGATATCTTTTGGAGAAAACCTTCAGCTTGATATATTAAAGAACCTTCAACAATTACATGATCTTCTCATCAATCTTCGTTGCTCCTGTACTTGTAAAACATATAGCACTTTTGTCAAAATAATATTAGACAAATTCTTTGTGTTTTCCAATAAAGCAATAAATGCTCATATCTATCTAGCATAATCATTAAAATTTTCTCAACTATTTTAGAATCAGGAAATTTCTTACCTAACAATTTTATCTTGTTAGCAATACCCAATAATTTGTTTGAGTATTCATTAATTATCTCAGATTCTTGCATCTTTTGTATCTCAAATTCCCTTATTAAGTTTATAACTTTCATAGCTCAAATTTTCTCGTCCTTTTTATATTAGTTTTTCATATAATCCCAAATTTCTTTCGATGACTTTAACATTATAATTTTGGTACGTATCAGTTGTGAATCAGCAGCAAGCAATTATGATTTAACTTTTATCTTACTCATTTTTTTTTCTCTCTATAATTTGATTTGAGTTATGATGAAATTGTCAGGCAACGAGTGAATGATGTAATCTTTTACACAGTTTCTCATACATCTAACTCTTCAAAATATGATTGCATTCTCATAATTCATAGGTTATAACTTTTATCATCAAAATTTGGAATAGTAACTTATGAAAAATATCCTATATGGGTATATATTTTATTTATGTACTCTATTTATATATAGAATAAAAATATTACAAAATATCAAATATTAATAATATCTTAATCATAACTTACCGAAATCAAAATAATAATCTATTATCTTTTTATCTTCTTCTCTTAAAAAATAATAAAATATATTAATACCTAATTTAAATAAAATATAATAAAATAATATTCCCATAACTTTTTAACATTATTTTATTTTTATTGAAATAATTGCAAAAGTTTTCATAATATTAAGGAATAAGATGAAAATTCATATTATGATGAATCTTCAAGATGAGAAAAGTGGTAAAAAAATATCTTTCATGATGAAAAAATTCTCCTTAAAAAGTGTTATGAAAATCTCAAATAAAATAAAAAATATATTAAAATTATAATATATAATATCATCTTTCATTTGTTGAGATATTTAAGTAAATATTAATTGTTTAAAATAATTTTTTATTGGACAATTTTTGTATGTTTAATTTATTTTTTTATAGTTATTTCATCAAACAATATATAAAATAAAATAAAATAAATAAGAAGAGAGAATGATTTTTTAAAATTTATTATAAAAACTTTTGATAAATTAAAATAAAAGATAATTGGTTAAAAATAATACATTTTATTGAATAAGTCCCAAATGAATATAATTCTCATTTTAACAAAATAATTTTGTAAAATTAAATAAGATACGTTTATATTTCTAATAGGTACATTCTTATGCCCATGTGCTTATTTGTATGTTCTTTTAACTATTTTTCACCTATTTTGGGTCAACGTCATATATGCCCAAATAAGATCTAAACTGCTAATACGGTGGTTAAATGGAATTAATATATTGTAGTTTTAGTAAAAAAATGAAGAAACACCAAAAAATAAAATAAAAATAAAAATCAAGATGCTTATCTTCCAAAGTTAATAGCTAATATGATTGATGTAATTTATTAAAAAGAAATTAACGTCACTATAAGAAATCTATTAAATGTTAATTAATTTCTAATCTTAATTATCAATATTTAAACTTATAATCTAATTTTTAATTAATAACTAAAATTTTAAAAATTAAAATTGAAGAGGAATTTAAATTCTAATTCAAAAAACAATTTTGTTAAAACAATTCACAACGTAATCAACGTATAAATAAATAATTTGTATGAGGAAACTTTTAATTTCACGTTCTAGATACTTCTTTTAATTATAATTGACTTTTTTTTATTATTTTATATAAGCCCAAATTCCATAGTACATTTTGTAAACTTACGAAACATAATGTAATATGTTTGTGATAGAAAAGACAAAACATTGATTATGTTGGAAAAACAGTGAAATGATGTAATGAAGCAGGTTAAAATATCATTTGTTTTATCAGATGAACTATTTGTCTGATGTTTTGAATATATTAATTGTCTGTTATAGTTTCTTGCTTGAACTGAACTCAAAGCTAACGATGGACCTTACGTGCTGCTTTAAATGCGCAAGTCCAAATATCTAAACCTCAATCTCGATCTCAATCATCTACTACACACTTTATGCAAAAATTTAACTATATTTTCTAGTATTATATAGTTGATAATCTTAAAGCAAAATATTCGGATAACATATCTTAATATTAATCTCTTAATCAGCTACAATTCTTAGTAAATAACATTTTGCTCCAACATTAGGTTTAATTTACTTTTGTGCTCTCATACATCTTCATCAACTTTTTTTGGGTGTCCAACTCATAGATGGGGAGAAAATCTAACCATAGTAGTTAAAATTTCTTGCAAGTACAATTGTCAACACAATTATCTATCATCTATCTATCTATCTATCTATCTATCTATCTATCTATATATATATATATATATATATATATATATATATATATATAATTAATTCTTTTCACGATAATGATAATATAAAATATCTTTCATAATATTAAATTTTAAAAACCATAAATACTAAATAATTATTGCTAGTTCACTGGTAACAAAACACATAAAAACATTAAGTTATTAATATTAATAACGCTATCTTTAAAATATATAAAAGTATCTTAAGTTCTTAACAAAAGTTATTTAAAAATAAAAGTAAATATTTTATTATAAATTTTATATATAAATGATTTAAAATTAAAGAAACTACTTATTTAAATATATCTAACCAATTTTTAAGCATTTCTTCAGTAAAATTTATAATAAAATTGATTAAATATTCATTCTGGAGATACCCTAATAAAAAAAACATATATTTAATGATATTAAAATATTACATCACCGTTATTATTTGAAAATGAAGAAATCGTAATAAATTCAATTAGATTTTACATATAATTAATTTTAATTTTAACATTGAATGTTTTAAAAATGATAATTTTATTTGTGTGCATATAGTTTTTTAAAAAGTAGAACATAAATATAAAACAGAATAATTTAAGCAAACCTATACATGACGCAAGTTTAAAATATAATTTAATTATTTTGTAAAACAAGCGTGTGTTAAAATCTACATTAAAGTTAATTGAACCTAAATAATAGGTTCTGATGTATAAGCAGAGTGAGTAGAGAAATGCATTCACGGGTACAAATCTGAATACAGTTCCGAGGACAAATTGCAGTCATCGAGTCCAAATTCTGCTTATAGTCGTTCTATCTCTCTAATGAACCCTTCATGAAAAAAAAAAAAATATCAAGATATTCCTCAGTAATTAATTTCTATAAGCATTTCAAGTATTCCAAGTTCCTTGTATACTTCAATTGAATCCCCGCATCTACTATCTCTGTAGAGTTCCACTCACTTATGGTAGGAGTTTAAATCAGTTTTGTAAAGTAATTTCACGCCTACCATATGAATCCTTATGTTCAAGATCATCTCTTTTTCTTGCCTTGCCATTGTTTCTCAATGTCCTTTAGAATATCTAGCACACCAAGAATACCCAAAAGGGGGAGTCCTCCTGAAAACTTACCCCCACCTCCTCCGTTGCCACCATTTCCATCGTCGTCTCGAGGTGGCAAACCAGGTCCATTGTTATCAAGTTTAGGGGACTTCACTTTGTCTGTCATTTCAGATCAAGAATTAGCATTTCATACTTGAATACAAACATAACATACGGATAACATAATTTATGTCAGAGTATAAGGGCATTTATATAAAATTTTAGGATAGAGAAAAAATATATACATGATAATAAGTTACAAGGCACCTTCAAACCAAACACATAAAAAAAAAAAAAAAAAAAACAGAAAGTGATCGGCACAACTGCCCAAAAATCTCCTAGGAAACCCCTCCGCAACAGGGAATAAATAAATAAATAAAAATCTCTCTTCCTTTTCCTTTCAGCAAAGATGACAGCTTTTGAGGCTTCAGAAGAAGAACCTTTTTTCAGACTTCTAAATCCTTTAGACACTCCATAATTTACTAAATTCATTGAGCCTTTTGCTCCAAGTACAATACGAAAAGCTATCTTTACCTCCTGACCCAATGGGTTAACCAATTTATATTCGCTGCTTCAAGAAGATAAGTAAATTGTACTTCTCACTTTCGTCTTATAATTAAAACGAAAATAATTCAAGAAAACCATCGACTGCGCACTTTATAGGACAGCCACTACAAGAACCAAAAATACCAAAATATATGCCGTAATTATTAAATTACCTCAGTTCTCACCTTCACTCTAAAATAACCTAACAGTTCCATATTGATTTAGTTATCTGAAATTACAAAAATGGATGTGCATGGGAAGACAACTACAAGAATGAAAATTATACATATATATATATATATATATATATATATTCAAATGAATATGCACTCGGTGATTAGGATTTCAAATGGTAGTGGCTAACACATTACGAGATTATTACCAGGAGTTATAGTCATTGACCGAGCATTGCGTGTAAGGGTTTGGGATGCACTTGCAGCTGCAGCAGCACATTTAGTATTCTGTTCACAACAAACAATCAGAATCATTAAACATTTAAGCCTAGCATTTCCGCCATTGCTAATGGGCTCACCTAGAGCATCAAGAATTGATAACAAGTTTCAAGACTGGGACCGAAACTAGCGACAAAATAAAAACACAATCTACTACTTCTGTCATATAAATCTCAAACATAGAGTTTGTGTTTAGATGACAAATTTAAGATTTCAAATGATTTAAAATGCATGGAATTTGATTTCCTTCGACTTAAGTTTCCTTCATTTTGCAAATGTTTTGTTTGGATGAATCAATTCAATTTTTTAAAATTTTATATTATTAATTTGTGCTAGACAATTTATCTTTCACTGTATGTATTAATACATTTAAAAAATTAAAATTTCAAAATTAAACTTAATAAAAAAATAAATCAGCCATTTTTTAAATATCTGACAATATTTAATGATTTAAAAATAATTTTGAACATTTAATAATTCAGAAATACAAATATGGATATGTTTTTACATCACTTTTGATAAAGAGGAGAAAGAAGAAAGTCATAGAGAAGGGAGAGAGAAAGTGAGCACCAAGAATTTTATTATTTTCTTAATTTGAAATTCTATAATAATATTATGTATTTGAAAATGCTTCCACAAATGGTTAGAATTTTAAATTCTATATAAAATCATTATATTCAAGTAAAATATTTAAAGACCAAAATTCAAATTCCCACATATTAAATTACTCACTTAAATTTCCCTATTCAAAAATACCATAAAAGATAAATTATTAACATGTATAAATCAATCCAACACCATTTTCTGAAAACCTTACCAGACTAGCAATTTCAACTGAGACATAAAAAATAAAAATAAAAAAATCTCAAAACAGGTAGATAACCGGACAAACTGATTTTTACAGTGCAAGCAACCCGTAATTTAGTTTCTCAATTTTTAATTTTAACTTAAAATATTTTTAAGATAAATATAAAAATGCATATTTAAAAATTTCACAAGTATAGATTATTCAGTGACTTATTATTACTTTCAAATGCATGCTAGTTATTTATATTAAATTTAAAATATTTTAAGTCACCATTTCTCATTTTATATTATTTTATTACTTAAAATATATAATATTAAAATAAATATAACTACTGGTTCTCTCAACAAAATTTACTCCCGGTTTACCACAATTAAATCAGTTTATCACCAATCTGGAACATTACCTAAATAAACCCTTAACCCACAAGCGTACAAGGGGAAGACTGAAATCACTTGTTACCCTATGCCTATGCATTTCCTTATCCCTCCAGTAGAAAAACAACACATCACTAAAATTAATCTCCATTAAATTTTCTCTCGATTGACAATATTTTGTTCTCTCTTTAATTGACAAGTTTTTTGTTTTTTTTTGCTTTGATGTTACTTTAGTTTGAATAACATGAAAGGAAACATAAAAGGAACAAGTCATTTGATTCTAGAAGGGAATGTGATAGGATATACAATCAGATAAAGGATTCAAAGGAACATAAAAATGGGCCCTAAGTATGGCGTGTGTATGAGAGGAGGGCAAGAAAGGAAAAGAAAAATAAGAGGGTGCTGAGTATTGACACAGTTACTGAATAAGGGGGAATACATGTGGGATAAAGAATATGAGAACGGGGGTGAGTGGAAAGAATAATTTTTTAGGGAAAGTTTCTATTATTGGGGCACCAAAGAATTATGTATGTGAGGAGCTTGGCTTTGGGATTAATAAGGTTTCTTAGGCAATATTTATATGTTTCATTTATGAAATTTGGTCATTTGGATTCGTATCATTGGTTCGACCTGCTGGATTTGCTATGTCAAGGCGAAAGGAATCAGTTTTGCTAGTCATATGTAAGAGGATGTCCAAAGTTGTTTTCAAGGATTGATGGAGGAGATGAAGATGTCTAGTTCCAAAATTGGACAAAAGGCACAAGCACATATGTAAGAGTATGTCCAAAGTTGTTTTCAAGGATTGATGGAGGAGATGAAGATGGAGAATAGTATATCAAAAGGGACTGATCATTCACATGTCAATACTGCATCGTCAAGTGAAGGAGGTAACATAGATAGACCAACCAACACAACATTGTAGTGGAATGAAGATACAAAGTGAGATTGTTGAACATTTGTGTGTTGCAATACCCTGTTTTGTTTGTGTGTGTGTGGGGGGTGGGGGGGTTTCGCATGTTGGATATCTAGGGCAGAAACATTCTTTAAATTCAAGAGTTGCAACTAGAGAAAAAGTCAGACTAGAAAAGGGGAGTATGGAGGGACCGGCAGTTTATTGGTTTCAAATTATAGCTAAAATGTAGAGGCTCCAACAAGAGAAAACTTAAAGGACAGCTTAATTGGTGAGGTTTGGTGGTTTGAAGGTAGAAAATCCATGCAAAAGTCTCTGAATTGCAGCAAGGAGGGTCATTGGAAGAATATGTTGAGCAATTCCAATTTTTCACTGCCCAAGTTCCTCAATTACCTGATGAGCAACTCATAGCTTATTTTATTTGAATGATGCAAATTGACCATGCAGCCAAAGGTGATTTAACGGTAGATGCAGGGAGAAATTCTTCTTTTCAAACAATTGTGAAGAGATGATATGTCTGGAATGTGGGGAGTCAACAGAGTTGGTCATTGATAGGTAAAGATGATGATAGGTATAGTCAAGGAAAGACAGTGGGTTATAATAGAGGGTGTTGAAGTATTTATTAGATTAAATGTATCTTGTTGGACATTTATGAGATTAGTTGTAGATCTAGTTCCTAGAATGCATCTGTTTATCTTCTCTAGGATTAATCATGTCTCTCTATTAATTGTATCTCTGAATCTGTATTTTTATCTCCTATAAATAAGAGAACACAAGAAGATGATTTCAGGCTCTCAAAATCAGTTCTTTATTTTCTTTTTTCTATTTCAAGTTGGTATCAGAGCCAAAGCCTAACATCTTTCCGGTTATTGTCATGGGCCAAAAGTTGCCCTTTAGTTGGGTCAAACGTACCCTTTGCCTGGTCCGGCGGGCTTCGTTGGAGGGGGTGTGTTGAAAGTCCCACATCGCCTACCTCATATCATTTGGTATGGTTTAAATACATGTTAGGCTACTCCACATATAGCCAATTGGTTTTATGTTGGAACCTTAACATGACAGTAGACAAAGGAGATGATAAATAGTAAGCGAAAGAATGGAGGTAATGGGAGGTAGAGAAAAGGAATAAGAGATAGGGCCATTTGGAACTTGAGATATCAAGAGTGGATGGATAGGAAGCAACAAGGGTTGTCATAAGCGTAGAGGAGTTTTCCACCCAACGCATCAATGTCCTGATCAACAGTTGAAATTAATGGTAGTTGATGAAGAGGATTCTTCAGGATCAGAATGGGGCATTATAATTTTGGAAGCAGAGATGAAGGGAAAGAAGTGTTGTAGATTGAACCAGCATGGGAATGGAAAACTGTCTAATCCAAAAACCACGGAATTGGATGCAAAAATCAATGGGTACCTATCATAGTTATGGTGGACAGTGGTGCTTTGTATAACTTCATATCATTTCGTTTGGTTAAGGCTTTGAGATTAGAAGTCACTGAAACCCGATCTTTGGGAATCCAACTTGGTGATGGACATGGCACATGGAAAATGCCCCAAGGTAATGGTGGAAATGGGAAGTTTAAATGTTTCAATTGATCCCTATGTCTGAGTTAGGGAATTTGGACTTGATATTGGGAATGGCATGGCTTGAGACATTTGGGGTAGTTATATGGAAAAGGGAAGAGATGAAGTTTCATACTAGGGAGAGAACAGTGCAGCTCAAAGGAAGGCCACAATCAATGGAAATCACGATTCTTTGTTTAGTTTATGGGGTTGAAAACAATAGCAAACACGAGTTGAACTTAACATTCCCTACTTCTGTTTGGATTCCCCAAACTTTGCCAAGAATTCCATAGTTCTTGAATAGGTGGTCATTCTAGATTCAACAGGACCTTTAGGATATTGGCGGAAAATGTATTGCAGGTAGGGATGAAAAAGAAACATTCAAGTGTAGATGAAGTCTTTTTGTGACAGAAAATGTATAGTGGGGGTAGGGATAAAGAAGAAACATTCAACTGCGGGTGAACTCTTGTGATGTATGCCAAAACCAAAATATTTTGGCTATATCACCTGCAGAATTATTGCAGCCTCTAGGTATTCTAGAACAAACGGAAGGATGAGGCTATGGATTTTATCATGGGTTGCTAAACATCCTTGTACAGCAAAAGGAGGGGCTGAAGTTTTCACTAAGGATGTGGTTCACTAACATGGAATACCAAAATCCCTTGTGCGCGATTGAGATCTTTATCTTGTTTTCTTTAGTAATTACGGGAAATCCTTATTTAGATTTCAAGGAACTAATATGAGGATGGGTTCTTCTTACCATCAAGAAACTAATGGCGAAAAACAAGGTACTAATATATCTGTTATCAGTCCATCCTTAATATTTACATTTATGCTATTGAGATGTTCATTCCTTAGCATGTGAGGGGGTATGTTAGAGATCTCACATCGACTAAAGATATTGCCAACTTATAATTACAAACCTCATCTTACAAGTCGATTTTATAGAATTGGGTTAGCCACCTCTTAATTTCTAATATAGTATCAAAGCCTATCCTAACAAGATTTGTTGACCTATTACTCTACTTGTTATCGAATATTCAATTCCACGTTCTCAAGATGTTCATTCCTTAGCATGAGGGGGTGTGTTGGAAATCCCAATATCAACTAGAGATATGACCAACTAATAATATATAATTTAGGTGCAAACCTCCCTTACAAGTCGATTTTGTAGAGTTGAGTTAGATACCTCTCCATTTTTAAGAATAGAAAATCCTTATTTAGATTTTGAGGAATGTAACTAGAGGTAGAACCCTACTGAGATTGTCTAAGGTAGAAAGCCATCAAACATTATCCAAAATTTCAGGGGAAATAAGGGTGGAATCACTTGCAACAGACTTGATTGATAGAGATGAGGCTTTAAAACAACTCAGCTTATCAACCATTAAAAGAAGGATTGATCAGAGTTTTGAAAGAAGGGGATTGAGTGTTTCTAAAGCTATGACAGCATAGGCAGCTAAGTGTGATCAGGAGGATCAATCCTATGCTTGCCATCTGATTTTATGGGCCTTATCAAGTGATAGACAGAATTGGTCTTGTAGCTTATAAACTAAGTTGCCTTAAAGTTCATGCAGTTTGACATATCTCCCAACTTCAGAAGGAATTGGGAAACTACAAACATACAAGGGATTTACCAAATTACCGCAGGGGATGGAAATGGATATTTCAGATGTGGAGTACCCATGGAAGGTGCTGGTTAGATGTTATGCAGCAAGGCAAAAAATAAAACTTCAGTTGGGTAGAACAATCCATTGAAGAGGCCTCATGGGATAAGATGCTAGGGAGATTCACAATCAGTTTCCAGAATTTTCAGACTACAGCCTTGAAGACAAGGCTGCAGTTCCAAGTGGTAGCATTCATAGAATACACAGTCAGAAAAAGGAATCAAAGGAAAATACAAGTTGGCCTACAGTTGGACCTGTGTGTTCCATAGGAGGGGCAAGAAAGGAAAATAAAAATATGAGGGTGCACAGTATAAAAATTAGGGAGTAGTTTCTATTAGTGGGCGCCAAAGAATTGTAACTGCATGTGGATGTTGGCTCTGGGATTACAGGGGGGGTCTCTTCTGTAATATTTCTTTATTTTTCTCAATGATATTTTGTCATCTGGATTTGTGTTGGGATGTAGGAAGGATAGTGGACAAAAGAGTGATAAGCTCATAGAAGGTCGATATCAGTATGTGAGATGATAGAAACAAACTTCCTTGAAATATGAAGATTCTCTCTCTGAATTTACATATTTTTGTTTCTTTGCTCTGTTGTTACGTTTGAGTTGGGGTAGGGGGAAGGAGACATAGAAGGGGACAGGCGATTTGATTCTAGGGGGAAGGAGACATAGAAGGGGACAGGCAATTTGATTCTAGAAAGGGATGTAGGAAGGATAGTGGACTGAACAGTAATAAGCTCAATGAGGGCTTTCATGTGTATCTGAGAAGATAGAAAGATGGGAAAAGTGCAGATGGAATTTCAACTAATGAAGAGAACAAGGAAGTGGGGGATTTGATTAGAGAATAAAAGCGTAAAAGAACAGACAGCTGGCAGCATTTGAGGGAAAGGATCCTGGCATGATGGGATAGAGATAGCTCTCCTTCTGGATGGTTCCGTGGGTTGTGGAAACTAGTACAACAGAATTTTGGGCAAGTATGAGGCCATGTGCCTTGGTTGAGGACAGCTCATTGCAGTTTCTAGGTATCTTCTTGTTTTCTCAACTATTTTCCAACTTTCCCTGTAATTTGAAGAGGTTTCCTCTCTTCTAAAGGATCTGAATTCCTATTGTTGGATAGACAATATTTATGGATTACCAATGTTCTATCTGAACCTCACAAACTTTTCAGTTACGGCTGATTTTGCATTGCAAACAATACAATGCGTTGCATGCTCTTTACAACTACATCAAGATATGGCATGAATAGAACAATCAAACAACATAACAAGAACCAGAAAAGAAAGAAAATAATAACTTACCAATGCAGCAACACGTCTGGTATATGATGAACTTTGCAATCTAGCAGTCTTAAGTTTTCCTTTTCTGGCGTTATATGGTAAGGGTTTCATCCCAACAATGTTTGGTCCAGTACGCTTAATATCAGCTTCAGGCTGACTTTTAATACCAACTGCATACCAAAAAGAACAATAGCTTAGTCCATTATTTAAGTAACTTGTAAGACACTAAAGTCATCGCTTTATGTTACTAGAATTGAGCACTGTCAAGATGTAGAAAATTGCTGTACCTGGTAAAAGTAGAGGTGATGTGCCAACACTACTTGCCATTGTCGTCCACTTCTTGGTTATGACCAAATGCTTTCTGTTAGCATGATGAGGCAGATAACAAATTATCAGTTTCAAACAGAATATATCCGTTGAGCTAAGAGGTAGATGTTAAACAGGAGACATGGGAATAAGTGCTAGGAGTTGTACTTTAGTTCATTCTATATAACGTTGTACATTTAGGCCATTTTTGAACTAATTCCTAGCAAGAATAATTCAGTTTAATTCGTTATTGAATTATGAATGAATTCTAGTGTTTGCCATCATTTGAGAAGTTGCACATACCAAGCTGTAAGAGAACATAATCCTAAACATATTTCTAGAGAGGGAAGGTGGATACTTCAAATTCAGTAAATGATAAAAAATTTCAGTTACAAGAAAACATCGCTGTCTAGGAATTTAAATGTATCTGTTAGCTTATGATGAAATAGCCCAAAAAATTGGCAGCTAACTTTTAATAGGAAATATTGAATGAAAAAGCCAAGTCATAAAACAATAAGACTGGTCCGTTGAGCAACAGAGATAAAAATTAAAAAACAGGAATACATAACATTGGACTTTTATTAACCAGATATTTTGTGTTTGTGGCATGATACAATTAAGCAGTAAGAAGTTGAAAAAAATATTACTCAGACCAATTTTTTATACAGAATACTTACTTGTCAAATCTCAATTCAGAACACTAAACAAGGTAAATTCAACAAACAAAGGGAAGTGGTGATTTTCTATTGTAGTCTCCTGTCTATACCTTTTATATAACTTCAGTTTTGAATTCGACTTGACCTAATAGTTAAGATAGAAGAGACAAGCGGAGCACATAACCAGAAAGAGATAAACAACAAAGAACCCAAAACTGAAACATAAACATAAAAATAGGTATACTGACATGTTTAAACAATTTCAAATAGATCTCACATATTTTGTGTTCATAACATAACAGAAGTAACTTACACGAAAATATATGTTCCGGGGAGTTGAGTTTTAAGGAAAGGGAAGACATGACAATTTTATCATTTCTACTAAATAATTTATAATGTGGTAATTATTTAAATGAAAGAAACAAGATGATAGATTAGCTCAACTTTAATATCCCAATCTCGTGTTTATCTTTACAAACATCACACACTCTCTTAATTTAAAAGTAAAAAAATTGTCCTCCCCTTCCTTCCCCTCCAAAGTTCAAAATCTCACCCCAAGCATTCCCCAAGAAAGGGAACAAGAGCATGATTAATCTTGATGAATTTTTGGTCCTTGACATTGCAGCAAGCATGTGGTGCAACAGCTAAATTATGTGTAAAGCTTATAAAATTTCGGTTGGGAACATAGAAAAAAAAAATGAGGCAAACCACAACAGAAGCAAAAAGCAGTTCAAATCAGTGGTCACTTGTGAGAAATTGCCACAGAACAATTCAAAACTCACGCCATACTCGAACAACAATCAGTTAGCAGCATGCAAAGAAGCAAAGAATATCACCTTAGTCCAACAGAATTTAGCCATCAAAGACAAGAAAATTGCACACCTCATAAGCAATGACCAAAACGCTCATAGCACATAAGAAGGGCACAACCAAACAGACAAGGGAAAAATATCCAATAATCAACCTTTTCTGGTTAAGAGTAATATCATAGAGTGCATAAATGTTTTATTTTTCAACTATTCTTCTTCCAGCAAAATTCGTAGTCTGTCATCATCAAACTATCATTTAGAGGAATTGAGTCAATTGACTCGGGATAAAGCACGAATTCAGATAATTAATAAAATAATCGATAACAAAGACAGAAATAAGTGCGCAATTAGAATCTACGCTTTGAAATGCGATAACAAAGGAGAGAAAAGCACGTCTACCTTCGTATGAGAGAGACGATGGTGTTGTGAAGCTATGTATTCCTTTTTTGCCTGTTGGGTTCTAATACGAAGAATGACGGTGAACGGATACTGGGTTCGGGTGTAAGATTATTCTAGAAAAAATTGGTCTCAATAAATTATAATATAATACAGGTGGATATTAACATCATCATTATTCTATTTTTATTCTATTTTTAATGAAACTATTTTTATTAGCTTTTAGCAATTATAATATGTATAATATTATTTTCTTAACCTCTAATTTTTTAAATATATTATTTTAGTTTAAATAATTTTTTCTCCCATAAATTTATAATTTTTGTGTATGTTTAAAATATTTTTTTAGATCTTGATTAAAATAAAACGTATTTTGATCAGTGAAAACAAATAATAATAGTTCTTCGTTTCAGTAAAATATAATTTGTTACATCATCTAATCATATTTTATGCATATATTATATATAATATGTTGTGTAAAGATATCTCTGTTCATTGCTAATATTGCATGTGTAATATGTTATCTGATTTGTTTGTGTATATAATAGTATTTTATAAAAGGATAATAATGTACTTGATCAAGTTAATTTATTTTTTTAAAGAAATATTCCTAATAAAGCAAAATAGACAAGTGATGTTTTTGTGTCCAATTTATAAAATTTAAAAGTGAAAAAGTATTAAGAGGACACTAAGTCTCTTAACTACATGCTATGTAATAAGAGTCACCATTAAAATATATATATATATATATATATATATATATATATATATATATATATATATATATATATATATATATATATATAAAAGACAAGTTGATAACAGAAAAAAAAAAAAGTTTGGCATGGAAATTTACCACCAAGTGATTGTCTTATCTAATTAGCCAATTAATTCAGTTACTAATTTTATGTTATGTCAAAATTTCATTTAAATCATTAATTATAATAATATATTTAACTATTACAATAGTAACAAATTTATTAATATTTTTCAAGAAGACTAGTTATTAAAAAAATCTCTAATTTCGTTGTAGTATTAATTATTAAAATCAACATCAATTGTTTACTAAAATTAATTTTACTAAAATCAATTATAAATTTATCTATGACAATGAAATCTACGTTAGTAGAGGTCATCTACATTATTCTTCATCCTCGTTTAAAATTGATTTGATTAAAAAAAAATTTGACAAAAATATAAGTTTAGATTTTTTTCTTAAAAAAAATTAAAGCAAACAGAAGTGAGTAATGCTATCAGTATCTTTCATTTTATATTTAACACAAATTATATTTTTTATTTTATACTTTTTATTTTTTTATTCATTTTTCATGTTCATCTCAATTTTTACGTTAATGACATACAATTATTTTTCTTTTTTTATTTAAATATTATATATCAATTTTAATAATATATAATATTATTTTATTTTTAATTTATCTTGTTAATTAAATAATTATATTAAATATTAATAATTTTAAATGATTAATAATTTAAGTTTTTATTATTTTATATTAATTTAATAAGAATTATTTTATTAAATATTTTTTTAAAATTATATATTTTATATTTATTAATATTTTAAAATATTAAACTTAAAAATAATTAACTTATATATTTAAACAAATATTTAAGTGTAATGTAAAATAATTAATGTTATAACTGAGTTGGGAATCCAATTAATGTTTGAGTTAGAGACAACAGCATTGAAAACAAATTAATATATAAAATAATAATTTTAGAATTATAAATAAATTGAGTAAAATTAAAAAATAGTATTACATAATTTTATTTAATGGTAAATTTTTTTAATAGCATAATTTAATTGTTTCTTAATAATAATAATATATATTTTGTTTTAAAGTTATATAAAACTAAAACTAATTTAAATATATAATTTTCACTCATTAAAATAAAAATAACATAATAAAAATTATAAACATAATATAAATGTAAACAAACAAACACATATTTCCAGTAATGTTATGAGACTAAATATAAAATTATATAAAAAATATATCCTACAAAAAAAATTATAAAAATTGATATAGTCCTTTTTTATATATTCAAATAAATAGTATATAATACATTTTGATAAGACAAATTATTTTAAATAAATCTGAAAATTTTAGAAAAACACATACTATTTTTATTTTGTTAGAGTGGGAACATGATAGAAACCAAATTAAACAACTCTTCGTGGATTCACTTCCTCTTTCCTTGGTTTGACCAATAAACAAGCACATTTTCTCTTCACTCAGTTCTCCTCCTCTCAGCAATGTCACACCATGTTCCGATTCTTCAGCTTCCACCACTCTCCTCGGTAACCCCAACAACCAATCCACATTCTTTCTCCCTCTCTTGCTTCCGCTTCACGGTCGGGTTCCATTTCTCCGCCTCCTACGGATGTGCACGCCAAACCACGCCAGTTCGGTCTAGTCACCAAGCGTCATTGCAAGAGGAAGGAAAACCTATTTCCCTTTACCTTCAACCTGTCTCAAGCGAAACCTACTTCGATAGTCTCCTCGCCCACTCTCAAACGCTCCACCAAGCTGTCGTCGTCGTTTGGTACATTCCTTCTTCAGTTAGACACTTTTGCGTTTTCTTCCAATTTAACTAATGACATGGTTAATGTGAAATTTACTTCATGAAAAACTAAAATTAGTTTGTGCATAATTGAGCTCGAAGTGTCAATTTTCTTTTGATATATTTTTATTGATATATTTTTATTGTCTAAAAGTCGATGATGGAGATGGATATACAAAACAAACACTCTAAATGAAAAAAAAATAAAAAAAATACTCCCTAACGTAAATCAATGGAAAAAAAACACTTAAAAAGAATTGGGAATGAAAAATGATGGGCTAATATGTAAAAACTATTTCTTATTACTCTCTCCAAAGTCTGTTTTGTACCTATATTTGTTACTGATTTTGCTTCCAAATTGAACTAAATGAGCGATTGTTACATACTCTTAAATTGATGGAACTTTGTTTCAGTCTTGTGCTTATTCATCTACTTTACATTGGGAAATTAGTCTCATGGTTTGCAGTTTCGGGGATACCTTGCTTTCAGGAAAAAGAAGTCATGAATTGTCAGATTGATTTTTTTTATGATGATTAATTAAAAGTAAAAAATGTGAGAAGATGATTTCTGATGGTTGAGACTTGAGAGAGTAAAATCCTTAAAATAACAGTATATCAAAATTAAACAGTTATTGTATTCATGATATTTTGGACCCTCTTGTTTCCTTCTTGAAACTTTGATCCCTCAAGTTTCAGGCTAGAAGCTTTGTAGGCAAAAAGGGGTCATGAATTGTTATATTGATTTTTTTATTTTTTATTTTTCAAAATGATAAAATAAAAGTAAAAAAAAAAAAAGAAGTCATAAGGTGACTTCTGTTGGTTGAGAATTGAGGGAGTAAATAAAAACCTTACAATAACAGTATATTAAAATTAAACTATTGTTATTCATGATTTTTTGAACCCTCTTTGTGCTCGTTGAGTCTGGCCTATTGTAACTGTGGACTTTGCAGAAAGATTTCGTATTAGTAATTGAGCACAACTCACTATTTATTTTTTTTAGGTTAAGTTAGCATATTATCGAACTACATTTTGAGGTAGCCAAACCATAGTTTATGCTTACATGTTTGTGTAGTCGCAATTATAAATTTTGTCATTAATGATGACAATTTTTTAATTTGCATTTTTTAAAGTGTTCATATGAACACAAGCAAACATTTTAATTGAAAATTTAAATGGCTAAAAATTAACTACTGACACACTTGGATGGAGGCTCTGTTATAATCAGGCACTGGCTTGTATGTTAGACAAATGTTAGCATTTCAATTTTTTAAGCACAACTTTTAGTCCTATATTAGTGGGTATATGGCATCTTTAGGTGCACTTCACCATAAAGACTTCTAGGAGGAAAGTTATGAAGAAAAAACTAATATTGACTTCTTTACAAGTTAAAATTAGCTTACGTACAAGTTAAAAATAAAAATTTAGAAAAGTCGTTTGAGAGTTAATTTGCTTATGTAGAAGTCCTTGTAGAGAAGCTAGTTCAAACAGGCCTAAAATCCAAGTAGGTTGTACTAAATGATACGGGACCCAATTCTACTCAATGGGTCCTGTATGAAATTCATCTTATAATAACAAGTTTCTTGGTAAAAGTGTGCCAATGGTAATCTTAGTTTCTTAATTTTTCCTAAAGAGATGTATCGTATTGTGCATTACATAAAAGAGAAACTTATTTCTTACATTTTTGTGTTTAGTGTGTAAATTTTTTACTATTATGGCCTTTGAGGTGAGATTACCTGGTTTGTAGGATGGCAAGTTGGTGCAGAAAATGTATATATTTAAAACCAAAACTGGAAAAGTTGGCAGCAGACTATCATCCAAGGTGAGATTACATTTTTTTCCTACTATGCACATAATTAGAAAAGCAGCTAATGAAACATAAATCGCTCTTTTTGATAGAAATTGTTTCATGTTCACATGTAATCCAGCTTATATATATCCTATAACTGCTTTAGGTGCAAGTTCTAGTCAAGGACTTGTATAGTTGGCTGACATTCCAACATATGCTAAATATGCCCATAAATCTAGTTTAGCATTTTAAAGCTGAAGCTTATTAAGCTTGCAACATGTTAAAGTTAATAAACACACAACAGAATATTGGGCTTCACCCAAATTCCTGTTTTCACAATCATTGATACTCTCCTATTTTATTGGTAGATTCAAATTTTGACTGTACTAATCAAATAATGCTGAGATATGTGGGATATTTGTTTTTTTTTTTTTAAATAGGAAATTAGGAAAGTTCTAAATTAATGAGTGTGTATGATTGTTTCTAAATTGTAAGTAATGTAGTAGGGGAGAGTTTGCAACTTTGTCTGCAGAAGTTGTAGCAGAAGGAAGATTCATTCTTTCAATAGTGGGAGTGGGTTTCCAGCTTTTTTCTTTTGATAAATTGTGCTGTATGAACCATGTTATATTGTGTGGGATGTGTTTACTGTTGCTAATTATCATGCATAGAATGGCATGTGATATTCTTTGAATACTGAAACCGAAGAATGCCAAAATTTTAAAGACCCCAGCCCCTCTCAACTAAAGAATTTAGGCTAATTTCATACTCACTGAATAATAGTAAGTTTTTGTCAACATCCTTGGCAGATAACTAGTAGAGATCTTTGATTATTACCTCCTCATTCCTCAACCTTCGTTCAGCTTTCTTTTTGACATACTAGCAGTCCTATCATGCACAGGTCGAGAATGACACAGAAATATAGTAGCTCTTAACCATTCTCTTCAATTATCCCCTCAATTCCAACCATGTCATTTCAACACTGGATTTCATACAAGCTAGTAACACTCCGTGTACTAGAGCTCAAAGTGTTTTAATCCACAACTTATTGAGAGCAGAATAAAGATCACCAATCTAATAACCTCAGCTGACACTTACAAGCATCAAAGAAGCACTGTTTTTTCTTCAACTCCTTTGAAAACATTCTAAACAGCTAACTACATCAACTAAACAACAAAGTACAATTCCCTGATAATTTTTTAGAATCTCTGCAAAGAAAAATGGCAAAGCTACATCTGAACCACATCAAAGACACAAGAACATCTATACTTTCTCCAAAGTCATGAAACCACCATAATTAACAGCTGCCAGAGTTCAACAGTAAAATATGCCAAAATGGAAACCACCAAGTATCAGATTGAAACTGGCTGATAATGTCACCAACTACATTTATTAGGTTGGGCAGCTAGCTGTCACTAGCAGCAAGCTCTATGATTACCACGGACCAAGTCACAACGTATCCAAAATGTAAGAGAAGCAAGCACTCGCATGCAATCAACATGGGATGTGTCCAGAACTGGTTCTGAACTAGAAACAAAAAGAAAGCTTTAGAAACAATATATAATGGAGTTCCATGTGAACTTAGTATGGACAATGATACAGCTCATGGTGGGTAGTAATGCTCAAATATCATCTTGAATAGAGTAATTGAGAAATTGTGTATACATGGTCCATTTTATACTACATGTGTGCCTTAAGCTAAAAATGTAAGAATTGTTACTTGCAGAGCAAATTAACAGCTATAACTGCTACATAACTGTAGTTGCTTCATATTTAGACATGTGTATGATAATGATTCTAGGCTACCCATAAGCTACTGAATCTAGGCTGATGCTCAAGCTGTTAACTAGCATATACTACTGAGCTATTTGTATTTTGAACATAGAGTATATCATGCATGTATAAATTTTTTGGTTGTTGTTGGAGATCTCACATCAACTAGAGGTACGACTAAATTTTAGTATGTAAGTGAGATGTAAACCTTATCTTATAAACCGGTTTTGTACAATTAAGTTAGATCTATATCCACTTTCTAATATGACATCAAAGCCTATCAACCTTTGTACCAACCGCTATTAGCCCACCCATCCATCCTCATCGTGAGGGGGTGAGTTAGGAATCACCCCTTTTTGTAGATGTGAGGGGTGTGTTGGGAATAACCCATAACCTCTATGTGAGGGGATATATTGAAAATTTCACAGATATCTAATCTTATGTTGAGATGTCCGGTCCTTAGCTTGAAGGGGGTATGTTGAAAATTTCACATCGATTAGGGATATGGTCAAATTATAGTATATAAGTAACGTGGAAATCTCTTTTGTTATAAGTCAATTTTGTAGGGGTTAAGTTAGGTTAGATCCATATCCACTTTCTAATAGTTTTGTTATGATAATTTAATTCATACTTTGTTTAATATCATAAGACTTGTCAACTCATTAACAAAGGACATGCTTATTTGGATTTCATGCAGATTGCAGTTCTACAGTGTTGATGTTAACACAGTTTCACACAAACTTGTTGCTCGTGCAGGTGTGACTGTGAGTTTCTCATAGCTTCCCCATTATATTCTTTCCCTTTCAATTGTTATCTAAGTGTAATGTATGCAAAATGTATTGAAAATTGTCTGCAATCATAAACTTGTTGCTCGTGCTGGTGTGACTGTGAATTTCTCATAGCTTCCTCATTATATTCTTTCCCTTTCAGTTGTTATCTTAGTGTAACGTATGCAAAATGTATTGAAAATTGTCTGCAATCACACTTCAACTTATCAAGGTCTTTTCATAAACAGATGTTGCCAATGGGGTACTTCAGGAATAAGTACTTCATTTGTGCCTCTTAGAAAAATCTATATAGTAACTTGTTGGATAAATATTTTAGTTTCCATCAGTGTCTTGTCTTTAAATTATGCCTTCACATCATATGCACTTGTGCTTTGCGAAATTGTTCTGGCATCTTTTAATTGATGAGAAGACCAATAGAAGTCCTAGTAAGAAGAGTTGATCAGGAGCAAGCAAAACTCAGTGTAGAGATATATGAAAATCAAGGAAAATACTGTAGAATTTTTTGTAAAATGCCTTTAACTAAATGGACTTCTGAAAACATGGCACCAGAATGATGTTATTTGAATTTTGATCCATATAGCAAATTCCACGCAATGGGAAAAGGCTTTTGTTGTTTGTTGTTTGGTGTGATTGATTTTTCTTCATTCTTTGAATGTCTTGCTCAAGAGAAGCCGACGAAAATCTTCTGGTTTTATGAACTTCTCATAAGCAATATATGATAATTAAATTATACCACTACCTGATGAATCTATCTGTTGATATACATCACTAAATTTGCTATTTAGACATTTTATATCGAGACTTACTATATTTCATTTTTCATGTATTTGTTGTATGTTGTCGGCTCACAATTACTGCAGAGAATGCCAACCATACAAGTAAAAGCACATTTAACTTTGATTTGATAAATTTATTATATTCTTTTCTGTCAGTGATTTAAATGTGTCTTGTTGCAGTTGTGGAAAGACAGCAAGAAACTAGCCGAAGTTATTGGTGGCCATAAAGCATATATAGTAATAAATGAGGTTCAGGAGATGATTGAGAATCCGTCGCAAGTTTTAGAGCAGTAGACCTATTTTCTACTATTTTGATATATTTTATTAATTGGTTTTACGTCATAACATTAATTTTTCCCTGTTCATGTATAAAATAAAAAAACTCTTATTTTACCATTTTTCCGTTTATTTTCCCTAAACCATTACTTCTAAAGTATCGTATTTACGATAAAAAGGTGCTCACATACTTATAGTTGAGACCTTGTGAGATATCTCGTTATATTGGTTTGTTTGCCTTGATGATTATAAGATTTAGAATTTTATAATTTCCACTTCCAAAGGTTTTTCCCTTTTTTATTATGTGAAACATTTAAGATGTATGAGATTGGGATAGGTGGCCTGTGGGAGGATCAAATCTTTGATGTTCACCTCAATCCTAAAGGTGAGGGTTAGAGCTGGTTACGCTGTTACATCGCCAGCTCTAAAAGCAATTATCAAATTTGGACTGTTCATGAGTAAACCACCTTCAAATGTGACAAAGATGGACTGCTTGGTGACCTGTTATCACCTTCAAATGCACAAAGGTAGTCTTTGTTATCTTTTCTGTTTAGAATGTTAAGCACAAACTTATTTCGAATGATCATAGTCATTGTTGACGAATTCCTCTCTTCCGTACCTCGGTTCTTATTATCCTACACATTTCAATTAGAGTGTGTTTGGTTGAGATGATAGGGGGAGAATGAGTGAAGATGGAAATAATATCGGTCGTTTGATGAGAAAGGAAAAGAAGAGAACTAATTTTAAAAACTAGTTGAACTCATTGTCCTACTTACCAATTTCTACTCATCTATATTGTACCAAACATCTTCAATTTCCATTTCATTTCTCATCTATTTTTATTCGATCATCTTATTCCATCATACTTACTTCTTCCATATATATAAAACAAAACTTTAGTTTTCCATTCCATTAACTAACATTGTTGTTAAAGTTTCCATTGCAGATTTCTAGTGTTGCATGTCCGTGTTTAGGCCAAAGAACAAGTTGGAATCTGACATTGGCACTGTATATGTAAACCACAGAAGTTTTTCCCCCTCTTATAGCTGCATGGCATCCAAGAGAAATGGGGGCACAGTGAAACAAGACTCTTAACATTCAAAGCCACAAAAGTCAAGGAATGGCTCTAGCCTTGACAATCCAACTACCTCATCAAACTACATCCGAGCATTTGAATTGTGCGTAGTGGAGTTGCAGCAAACGTTGAACCAAGCCACAATTTTCCTTCCACTGGGTGACAAATACCTTAGTATCAACTTTAACACTATTAATCTCAAGTACTCAAATCTCTCACCGCTGGCGTGTACGACTGACCTTTCTTTGAGTTCCTACCAGCATGACGTGGGCTAAGGCTGAGTATCTCTTCAATTCATTGAAAGTCCAAGTTACATATTCTAATTAGGTTGACTTAACATGAGGCATAATTGCAAGTTGAAATTCTTATCTTCATTATTAGCCAAAAGACTTTTCCTTTGGAAGCCTAATTCTCTTCCTTAGAAACTTCCCCAATTTAATAATACTAGCCGACTTTCACTAAATTGCTTTCATAATGACTACTGTAAGACAAACTGTTGGAGTAAGTCTTGCTTTGATTACATTTAAAACATCTTCCATCTCTTTTTTCTATCCTCAAATCAGATCAATTCAATATGAGTCTTTATTTAATTTCATGTCCAATTTTCAACTGCCCACTAATCCAAATTCTCAAATTTTTATGTTTATCACACCCACAAACAAATCCCCAATTTTAACATTTTTTTAACATTTTAAAATACAATTATAATTTGTGTAAAATTCAATGTTATCTTTTTGTTTGTCATGAGATTTATATTTGCGCGAAACTTTATTATAATATTTTTTTTCTTCGTGTAAATATTACATTTTTTTTATTTAAATTAAAAAAGCCTTCAAATTCATCACTACTTAAAGAGATCAAATGCAGTAACACGTATTAATGACTTGTTGGTTTTATTTTTACTTTTATCTTTGCAATTTTTTAAAATTTGTTATAAATGAAAATCATTTATCAAATATACCTATCCATATTTTCTGAGGATTAAACATGTTATTATGCTTTTATGTATTTTTTTTACCTTTTTTAAAAACTTTTTTATTAATAAAAATAATTTATAAAGTAAACTCATCTAATTTTTTATATTTATCTTTTTTTTTATCTTTAGTAACATTTGGTTAGATTATCAAATGGAGGTGATTAATAGTCTACTTTATGGTTGTTATGTTTTCATGATTGTTTTCTTTTCTTGTAATATTTTCTATTTTAGAAATCAAATTTAAATGATATAACATTTTTATTGATAGTAGTTTAAATCTATTAAGGTGGTGATGTTTTGTTTTTTATCAATATTTCATTATCTTAGAAAGACGTTAGAAGTGGTCGAGATGGTTAAAAGAAATGATCTAAAAAAGACTTTGGTTAAAATTGAATAAAAGTTTGATTTTTTTGTTTCACAATTGAAGGCTTATGAAGATGCTATTTCGGTCAAGGTTAAAGAAAATGAATTGTTTATTTCTTGTGCTTTGAAAGCTGAGGAAAATCTTCAAGTTGAGATGAATCAAAACAAGGGACTTGAGGGCTAAAGTTTTGTTTTACAAGAGGAGCTAACAACATAAGAACTAACTAATATGTTGAATAGTTATGAAGACGATTTTAAGTAGGCTATGCGTCAAATCTCATTATTTGTTCCTAATCTCAACATTTCTCAATTTGATAATGAGAAAGATAGTCAGGATGGAGAGTTATTGAACAATTAATTTTTATTTTAATTACATGTTTGATGTATAACTATATCTTTTGCATACACTTTAGTTTTTCGAATATAGCTCTTTTGATTTTACAAATATGATTGTGGTTTATATAACTCATTTACATGATAGGCAGAGGTTTGTATAATTTGTATTGATACGGAGGGTTTATATAACTTATTTTCTGAATGGTATAATCATAATGCTCTCTACTCATAGTAAAATGTAATTTTTATACTTGTGTGACCTAAGAAATGTGTGTTTTTATATTCGTGTGATTCGAGTAAAGGATAAAAAATTTTATAGTTGTATAATTTCGAGTATGGTGCACTTTTATACTTGTCTAATCTCGAGTAAGGATTAATACAAACTCGAAGATTGACATTCCATTGCTGTCATTTTATATGTATATGATTATAATTATCTATGTTGATATACTATTTTTATAAAGCAAATTGGTTTGGATTATTGAATAGTCAATCACTTATGTTTCTATTGTAACAAAAGATTCCATTTTTATGTAGAAAAGATACAAATCAATATTTATGATTTTAAGTATGGACAATTCCTCAAAATTTTGTACATTCCCAATAAAATCTTGGGAGGCTTCATGTCAAGGAAATTTCTATACTTGCATCTACGAGAAAGACATAACACAATTTATTTTAATACTTGTATTCTGTATAAGAGTGTTCTAACCTCATATCCGTTATAATAATATTATTTAGGGTCAATTATTACGTCTGAAATATTGTTAGCTTTAGGATTCTAATTTATCACAATTTTACCTTTAAAAGAATAAAATATATATAAATTAATCTTGTATTGACTCTAACTAATAAATGTAGCGGAATAATAATAATAATAATAATAATAATTATTATTATTATTATTATTCAAGGAGAAAATAAATTAAAAATAATAAAAAAAACTCAAAACAAATGTTTTTTTTTAAATTAAAAAGTTATAATGGAATTGAAAGAAAAAGTTGAGTTAATTTGGAAAATCCAAAGCTCCACCTAACCCGGTTTTCGAAACCCCTCTTGTTTCTACCTCTAAATCCCACCAAATTCATTATCTGTTTGTATTATAAATTTTAGCCACCACTAAAAATAGAATCTTTACTTAAAAATCGAAAAAGAAACAAAATGTTATGCAAGATTCATAATTATACGAAATAAGAAGAGCTTAAAATGAGAATAAAATATATTATTTTAATCTATAGTTATTAAGAATAGGTTAAAATTATTTATATAAATAATTTTTGTATATATTTAAGTGATTCTAGATTTACATTAAAATAATATTTTTTAATAAATTTTTTAAATAACTCACACTGGTATAAGGTTTTTATGAATCAGTGAAACTAGTTTTTAATACATTAGTTAAAAAATTTAAAAATATTTTTTTATTATTTAAAAAGGAAAGTATTTTAAATGATAAAAACAGATTGACAAAATAGTTTTGAATTTCTTACTTTATGTTTTTAATATTCATTAAAAATAATATTTTTAATTTATTTTTATTTTTCAATTTTAAAAAAATTGTAAAAAAAATGTTTTTGAGAATAGATTAAAAAAATATTGATAACTCGAGTTTAAGACCTGTTTTGAATGATTTTTTTTTAAACTTGAAAAATGATTTTTTAAAGATGATAAATGAGTGAAAACGTGAATACTAAATTAAAAATTAAAACTAATTTTAAAAATAATAAATAAATAAATCCTGTTATTTTTTTTCTTTCTAATGATTATTCTTGTCTTCTTACTTTAGGCACTAGTCATGTTTCACATGGAATGATAAATCAAATCAGTAAATATTAACTATCCAATTATAAATATTAACAAATGCGAGAATGTCACAGACAAACTCAAAATTTTTTTTTCCTACTACAGCTTTTCATCATTTTTTTTTCTTCGTTAATATGCTATTAAATTTATAATTCAGAAATAATATCATTCTATCAATATTTATCTTACTAGCATGTTATTAAATTTATAATTTAGAAATAATATCATTTTATTAATATTTATCTAATTAACACTATTTTATTGGAATTCGATTCCCAATAGATCAAATTCCAATCTCACTAATTAATATAATTTTTAAAATAAAATAATATTTATTAAATATAATAATTAAATATATATATATATATATATATATATTTTATATAAAATAAATATATAAATATTATATATATATATATATTTTTTTTTTAAATTATTCATATAATTATATGAAATAAATATTAT